ACCACCGTGCCCGACCTTTTTTCTTTATTCTTAGGTGTTTGTACTTGTTATCTGTTTTTCACTTTCCCAAAAGGCCAGTTTGTATGTTGAGAGGGGCCAGCGAAGAGAAGCTGTTATACTGATGTATTACGATTTTTCTTTGTTCATTTCGATGTCTCTTTTGTCTATGGAGCTGGCTAAGTTACAGCAGGGGGTGTGCGTGGTGGGGATTCTGGGGGGATGTGGCGAGGAGCTGGTGAATGGCCTACATTTCTGGCCCTGAGGGTGATGGCACTTGAATGGCTTTAGTGGGCATTGGGTGGGCCTGGAGGACAGTGACTTTAAGTAGATTGTGGCCAGTGGCCTCTGTTTTTCAAACAAGACTCATTCATACTGTGATTGAATTTTTAGACTTGGGAAACCCGCTACATGCTGTTGCTATGGCTCTCTGTGACCTGCCTGATCCCTTTTGATTTTTCTCGCCTTGATGGGAACCTTCTCACCCAGCCTGGGCAAACACGAATGTCCATAATGGACCGTATTCTCCAAATAGCAGAGGTAAATATCATGCAGATAATTAGCTGCTGATTACTATTCACTTTCTTGGTCATGCTGTCTTGATATTAGTGTTTTACTCAGTAAGCTTTTGATACTTACATATTTATTCAACTGCTGTTTTTGTCAGTGAGGTAAACTCCCATATGATAACTTCTTTTGAAATTGTGATAATTCATGTAAGGGTCAGGTTGAGTTAGCAAATCTCATTTCTTTGTAGATGATGCAAATACCCTGTTGAGGGTAATCATGGCAGGTAAGGAAGGGGTTTAGTGGCAATGGTAAGAGAAAATAAGGACCCATTTTACATTTAGTTCTTAACATTATATAAAAGATGTTCGTTTGTAGGAAAACTAGAAAATAAAGATAAGCATGAAAAATACTAAATTTAGATTTATGAAATTCTAGCACCAAGAGATACGTTGTTTATTTTCTTCAAACTTTTCCTGATGTAAATATTATGCATATAAACACAGCTTATTGTATGAGTTATCTATTGGATCATAAGTAATTACCCCAAACTTGAGTGTTTGACAAAACACATTTATCCTTTTGCAGTTTCTGTGGGTTGGAGTGTGGCATGGCTGAGCTGGGTCCTCTGTGTCAAGCTTGTCCACAGCTGCAGTTAAAACTTGACATGGGCAGGCTTTGCCCCAAGGCCGTTGGATTGAGGCCACCCTCAGTTCTTTGCCACCTGGGCCCCTCCAACTTAGCAGCTTAGTCCATCAAAGCCTGCAAGGGAGAGGCTCTGCTAATGAGATGGAAGTCATGATAATATGTTACCTGATCATGGAAGTGATGTCCCATTCCTCTGCCAGATCCTGTGGTTAGCAGCAAGTCACTGAGTCCAACCCACAAAAGCGAGCACTAGGAGGCTGTCAGGCTCTGAGTCATCTCAGTTGTCTTGGTCTTCCTGCCACGCTGACTGCGATAATGCGGGTCAGCGTTCACTGAGTGCCTGCTGTGTGCCTGGCACTGTTCAAACACTCATAGATTAATCTTTTTTTTTTTTTTTTTT